GAATTGAACCCAGGGGCACACTACCATTGAACTATTTCCCAGCCCTTTTAATTGTTTTTAAATTTTGAGGCAGGATCTTTCTATGTTGTCACGGTTGGCACATAGCCCATGTTCTCATGAATGCATAATAATGGAGGAACCCAATGTTGTGGGTATAGAAATGGATCCTCACTATAAAGTCAGGCAATGACGGCAACCAAAAGGAAGCAGATTTAAAAAGGCCACTGAACAAGGCTTTATTGAGATTCCACTCCCAGGCAGAACTCTTATCAGACCCACAGATCGGACAGCAAGAGGGTCTGAGGAGAAACCGCATGGGGGTTCAACCGAACTGGAATTTTATGGGGCTTAGGGCAGGAAGGGAAGGGCTCGGGACAGTAAAAGGGGTTTTTAGAATCCTTTGTCCAGCTGGAGTTGGTCGGGGGAACTGGCTGAGATCCAGGATTGGCCAGGAGACCCCACTGATTGACAGGCAGTACCATTAGTGCCTGATTGATGTTTCTTTCCCGAGTGGGCTGCTTGGTGCTTTGTTCCTAAGTCACCTTCATCGACCTGATACTCACAGTATATTAAACTATGGGATTAGCATGGCTAAAAAATTGAGCACTGGGAAAGGAGGTTAAATTTTATAACTCAGAATGCAACTTGATTTCTTCATTGATCTTGAGTTACGGGTTTGGACTTTCTGAGCTCAGTGTAATTAAGGTTCCCTAGATAATGGAGAACATATGTGGCTATGAGTGTTTCAGCACATGTGATTGGTATGCAAACACATGTGGGCCACACAGAGAAAGTTCTGTGACTGTCTAGAACCCCAGGTAAATGAAGCTGGACCTGCCTATCTTGAACTTTGGAGGGCAGAATGCCCAAATGTTTTTGGCTGAGCAGGGGCCCTGTGACATTGAATCCTCTGATGCAATCCATTTGCATCATCCAAAGTGGCATTCATACAAATGGCCTATTGACACAGGCTTGGGACAAAGTCTGCTCTAAAGGAGATGGTTCCTGGGGCCTTGCTATCAGTGGACTTAAGGAAATCCTGGTTCCTAGGGGTAAAAATTAAATGCAGGAAATCTACTTTCCAACATGTGATTTTCACCTGGGCCTTAGATCCAAAGCCTCAGGGCAGAAAATGTTGCAGATTCTTCCCGGGGAGTGGAAGAGGCTTGACTGAAAGAAGTCAGGGACATTAGAGTGTCCACCCTGACAACAATAACACACACACATACACACACAATATATATGTTTACCTGGATGACACTGCAAGTTTCATCTTAACTCAGACTTAGGGATTTATAGACACTTCTGAGATGTTCCCTTTGATTATTACTTTGCTTCTCCTGCAGTTTTCTTTGAGTCTACTTCATCTCACAATTGAAGGAAAAAAAATGTGCATACAAGAATGTGGTGATTGGTGTTATTTTTTCCCCTTTATTCATTTTTTAAACTCATTAGTAAGCCTTCTACAAAGCCTGACAAGGATTCATTCACTGTAAATGGGTATGCTCTTTTATCACTTATTCATTTTCTGCTTACTTATCAAGATAGATAATGCCTGGGTTCTGGGAATGAACACATCAGTGCTCTCTGTATCCCTATCCTGTTTCCTAACCTTCACCTGCACAGAGCTTTCCCCAATTTATTTTATTTCTTCCTGATTTCCTGTCCTCTTTGAAAGTGGGAAGATAGTTATCTCTTTGTCTTCTTTGTACCTTCCCCTTTTTAGGGCTGGAAGCTGAGGGTGACATCATTCTTCACCTTATTCCATTATCTCTGTCCCTCCTTCTGACTGGGCTAGCCCTACGTGGGATCAAGTGATGTCTCTTAGAAATAAAATCCAAGCCATTGGTCAGAGTTCAGTAGTAAGAGGCTGCAGGAAAGTGTCCCTTCTGCACAGTCCAGGGTCTATACATAGCATTCCTAATAATTCTATAGAACAGTCACTGCCATTTAAACCCCCACTTCCTTAGATGGACTTCATCCTATAGATATTTAGTTAACTCTTTCAAATAATCTGTGTATAATTATTTCATGCCTAGGATGCTCCATGCTTGAAGAAAGCTGCAAGCCAGGCCAGGAAACAGATCAGTAATTTGTGAGAATTTTATTCCCTTCAATTTGACCCTGCTTCTCTCAGACACAGGCACACTCTCTGTTTTCAGATATTGCCACTGCCAATTCTGTAGCCACAGGTCTAGTTAATGAATGGATGAGGTAAAGTGTCAGAAGATACTTGCAGGTGTCTCCTGCTCCTGCTCCTGGGCAGTTTCACCAAAGGCAGTGTTTGCTTATGTCTTTTCCCAATACTGGAGCCACAAGTGTTCCCTGTGATAGCTGCCCACCTTGGGAGCAGGGGTGGCCTGGTTATGACCTATCTCATATACCTTTCCATGTCCAGATGTTTGCTTGTCTTTTTTTATTCTTAGACTCTTTCCCCAGGTTTCTGTGTTTATTCATTTCCATAATTTTCCAAAACTCTTGTTGTAGTGAAAGTGTTTATGTGCACACTTCAATTCTGATGGCTGATGCTGATTGTTGTTTCTTGACTGGTGTTGGGTCTGCAAGATTTGGGGTGGTTGAGTCTGATTATGCTCTGATCAGGGCATAACCATTGGTACAGGGACCTCTGGAATGGGGTTTTGCATTGGGGAAGAGGCATTGGACTGGATTCTGAGTACTGCATGGGGGTAGTGAGAGTTGATATCCAAAGAGCAGTTTTAGGGTCAGTGGATGGATCATTACTAACAGACAATGCAGGGATGAGGAGGGATTCTGGTTAAGTCAGCCTACCAGGATTCTACCCAGAGGCAACCCAGTGTGATTGGACATCATCTGGGGACAGAGAAGGATGAGGAACTGACCAGATAGCATGTGATCAAGTTTCAAGATATCTCAGCAGGATTCAGAGTGAAATTAGATAATGTAGAGACCAACACAGAGTCCAAAAGATATTGAGGGAGAGCTCCTGGGAGGAGGAGCAAATCTTTGTCAGGGCAGAAGGCAAGGTCACCACTGGTATCCCAGTTGCCCTAGGCACCATGGATGCTAGAGGGAGACTGTATTCCCTGTCCACAGAAGGAGTGGAGAGGCAACCTGCCCTTCCTCTATGCTCTCCACACTCACTAGCTCAGGGGACTATTCTGCTTCATCAGTTGGCTTTTTGCAGCCAGGCACTGGAAGCTCTGTGTTTGAAAATAAACTTGTAATTCCAGGAGGTTTTTGATCTCTGGACTGACTTATCCACTAGGAACAAAACTTTCAAGGTTCAGGAAAATGTTTTAGTTTCTCCTAAAATCAGAAAAAAAGAACTTTAGGGAAAAAAAACACATTCATATATCAAATTTATATATTAATCTTTACATCAACATTATATTGAAAAATGTAATTTCAACATTTTTAAAATGGAGGATGTGGACTATGTTATGTAATTAATGCCTGGCCCACAAAAATTATAATGAGGTCTTAATAATATCCTCTATTTTCTCTATTCATCTATGATATTCATCAGAATCACAGAAACTTAATATTAAGTTATTGATGGTTATTTCCATACTGAGTACTAATATAATTTATCTCTATCCTGATGTCCACGCACATACTCCCACCCAAACTCTCTACATGTGAGTCTCAGTTCAAATATATTTTTTTTCAGAGATCCCTTTCTTAAACTATTATTTCAGGAGGTTTTTCTTCTCCTCCTCCTCTTTGTTGGAAACCATCAGCCCACTCCTCTAATATCTCCCTACACCTTTACTTGTTTATTCATTTATTCACAGAAAGTTGAAACACACAATAACCAGTTCTCAACAGCCATTGCCTCCCCAATGCCAACAGTCAGATTAAACAATATTTTGTAGATTAAACATTAATTAAGTCCATTGTACCTTCCTGGGGGAAATTGTCCTCCACTACTCACAGGTACCAAAGCAGATGTCAAAGTTGTGTGACCAACTCATCCCTGACTTGGTGGTCACCACACTCATGATCTCAGAGCTTCATTTTATACCTAGAAGCATTTCACTGAAAAATGTGTAGAATGAGAGAGAAGTTGTGAGCAATCCTTGGCATGCTTCATTCCCCAGTGCCTGATCCCTGGAGGACCAGGGACTTGTGCCCAAGCTGTGGACTTCTTAAGTATGAAGTTCACAACCACCTGAGTGTTACAACCCACAGGACAGACTCTGTTTAGCTTGGCTTCTAACCAAGATAAATGAAATCAAGTTGTGGTAGCATTAACATTTCCTCTAATTTTGTATATCATTCAGACAAATTAAATAAAAAGTCAAGTGAGTCCCTTAATCCTGTCAAAGTTGTAAAAACCATTAATAGCAGCTACCATGTCTGCTCAGGGGTCTGTCTCACTTCTTTGTAGAATATCCCTCAGCAAGCTTTCTTTGTGAGGGTCTTGATGTTTTGGTTGCCTGGGTGACTGAGGTTGTGATAGTTTTGGTGATAAGGGAGGATCCAGGCCACCTGGTTTGTGTGACAGGGTCTTGAAACAATAGTTTTTTTTTTGTTTTTAAAGGGGATATAATTATGGCTGGAGGAAGTTTTGACATACCAGACCCCCATCTTCCAGGTGCCTATCTGTCAGTTTGTCCTCCCCAGAACCACCACCCATTCATGACTGACTAGCTACTTATCAGTAATCACTCTACTGGATACTCAGTGTAAATTTGACTGCACCCCCTTGTAAGCCTGTGTCCAAGGGGGAAGAACGGGAATTGCCCACCGAGTATAGGACAGCAGTGTGCGCCCTGGAAAGCCCGGAGCAAGTTCCGCTTAAATCAGTTATGTCCCTCTCCTGGCTAGGTCACAGTTGGGGAGGCAACTGGGGCTGGGAAGGGCTGGGGTTGCTCTCGGTCATTTCAGCTCCACTCACTCTCATACGGGATCGCTTTTCCCGTCAGTCAGGCCTCAGGGGGTGGGCACTGGGTCACTAGCCAATCAGGCTCTCGGGGGCGGGGCGGTCTTGCTGTCCAAGCAGGCGCGCTCAGGGAGGAGGGGTGGTGCTGCGGCCGGCGAGTCTGAGCTTCTGTGCCCGCGCCAAGGCTCCAAACCCAGTCTCAGTTTTTGTTGGCTCTGAACTCCACTGACCGCAGGAGCTGTAGGGAGGACGCCAGAGACTCCTCCCAAGTCGGAAAATGGTGAGTACGGGAGCCAGGTGTCCCCATATCCGGGAGGACGGGCTTGTCGCAATCACCAAGAACCGGCTGTGGCAGGACCGGCCTCTCCGGCGTCAGCTCCAGACTCTGCGGCCGAGTCCGCAGCCGGCGCCGCTGGGCCCTCGGTCCCCTCCTGCCCAGGGTGGGGCTGGGCTGTCCGTCAGGACTCCCACGTCCTCTCTGTTCCCAGCGTGGCGACTTGGGCCCGGCCCCTGGCCCTGTCGCGCAGCGCTGTGCCCACAGCTCGCGTCTCCCGGACCACGCAGTGAGGACCGGGGAGGCGCTTTTTGCAGATCAGAATGTTTTAATTTCATTGAAGTCTAGGTTATCCGTTTTCTTATTCTCACATCATGCTTTGGGTGTCACATCTGAAACCTCATTGCCAAACTCAAAGTCTTCTAGTTTCTGTTTACCTTCGAGAAGTTCTAAACTTTGCATTTTACATTTCGGTTTGTGGCCCAGTTTTAGTTTTGTGAAAGTTGTCAAGTCAATTTCTTCACCTATCATGTCCAAGTGGTTCGGTAACGTTTATTGAAAAGATCATATTTTAGTCATTTAGTTTCTTTTGCTCCTTTGTCAAAGAACAATGGACTATAGTTTTGTGGGCTTATTTCTGTTATTATTATTATTATTATTTTCCCTTCTAGTTTTCTGTCCTGTTCTGAGATCAATGTTTATTTGTTATCCACCTACCTCAGTCTCCCAGGCCGCTGGAATTATGGGTGTCACTCCCTGCTAGAAGAGTTTGTTGTTGTTGTTGTTACTGATAAGGTAACTTGTTAGGATTTTTATTTGGATTATGTTGACTTTGCAATTAAAATGGAGAACATCTTAAAATATTGAGGCTTCCTACTCGTGATCAACTCCACAAATTTAGTTTTTTTTAATTTTTTCACTACAAATTTGTCGGTTTTGTTGTATTTGTGACAATCATGTATAAGTATTTCTCTCTGTTTTTATCTTTGATGCTATGCAAATAATGTTGTATTTTTAATTCCAAATCCAGTTGTTCATAGTTGATATACAGGAAAATTAGGGACTTTTCTGTATTGATCTTGTGTTCTACAACTTTGCTATATTAGCTTATTAGTTTCTTTTTTAATATTTACTTTTTAGTTGTGGTTAGAAACAATATCTTTATTTTATTTATTTTTATGTGGTGCTGAGGATCGAACCCAGGGCCTCGAATGTGCTAGGCAAGCACTCTATCTGAGCCACAATCCCAGCCCAGCTTATTAGTTTCTTGAAGATTTTACTGATTCTTGGGATTTTGTACAACCAAAGTCCAGTCCTGTCTTCTGTGGACATTTATGTTTATTTATTCTCAATCTCAATGGCTTTTCCTTCTGCTTTTTTGAAATAAGGGTTCCTTTTTTTTTCTCTCTCTCTATCTCTATTTCTATCTCTAGCTCTTTTTCTGTATTGGGGATTAAAACAGGGGTACTCTCCCACTGAGCCCATCTCTAAGCCTTTTTTGAGACAGGGTCTGGATACATTGCTGAGGTTGGCCTCAACTTGCACTTGAGATCTTCTGCCTCAGCCTCCCAAAGGCTGGGTGCTGTGTGGTTTTTCTGCAAGTATTGATATGATCATATGATTTTTCTTATTTCACTTGTTAATATAATAGTTACAGATTTTTGAGTTTTTTCTTTTGGGGTGTTAGGGATTGAATGTAGGTCCTTACACATGGTAGGCATGTGCTGTACCACAATTTTTTGATTGTTGAACTCACTCATCCCTACAAACCTGTAATAATCCCCATCTGTTTGTAATATATAATTTAACAAATATATTTTAAAATTAACTTGCTAACATATATTGAGAATTTTAACAACTGTCTTTCTGTAGTTTTCCTTTTTTGTAGTGTCTTATTTCTTTTTGTTAATAGGGTAATGTTGGCCTCATTCCATGAATTAGGAAGTGTTTGCTTTTATTTTCTGGAAGGAATTTTGGAGAATGGGAGTCATTTCTTCCTTAAATATTTGGAAGAATTCACCAGTGAGATCATTTGGGTCTTGGCCCTGCCTTTTTATTTATTTATATATACACACACACACACACACACACACACACATATACACTCACACACACATATACACTCACATACATATATACACACACATATATATATATGTATATGTGTGTGTGTGTATATATATATATTTTTAAGTTGTAGTTGGGGGTTACTGGGATTGAATTCAGAGGCACTTGACCACTGAGCCACATCCCCAGCCCTATTTTGTATTTTATTTAGAGACAGGATCTCACTGAGTTGCTTAGTGCCTCGTTTTTGCTGAGGCTGGCTTTGAACTCATGATCCTCCTGCTTCAGCCTCCTAAGCTGCTGGGATTACTGGCGTACACCACTGCTCCTGGCTTTAATTTTTGTACTTCTTTTGTCAAATTGAAACCTATACATTTATTCTTTGGGTGTTAATTTAAACTCATTTTTTAAGGGTATTTTTAGGTATTCCATTGTATGTGTGTTGAAGTACAATAGAATTTGTGTATTTTGTTCTTTTTATCTTGGTGAACAAATATTCATCTTGGTTACTTCCAAGTTTTCAAAATTAGTGCATGATGCTGCTCTCCACAGCTTGGTGCCAGTCTTTGTGTGGGTCTATATTTTCAACTCATTTGAGTGCTAATTTACATGGGGATTCATCTTTGGGAGTTGGTTTGGGGTTGAGCCACATGGGATGGGGTTGAGAATCATTCCCTCTATGAAAATCAAGTGTCAATGAGTGTGTGTGTGTGTGTGTAATGATTTTAATGATCACATTACAGGAAATAGCGGTGGAGTGTGACACTGGACATTTTCATTTATCCACTTTTTTGTTTGCTAAGGTGATCACCAGTTGGTTTACCTAATTGTCTATTTATCCTTCTAATAAATGTCAGAGTCATCTACTTGACATTTTATTTGGCTATTTCCTCATTACAACAATGGGATTTTTTCTATAACTTGTTTTTCATCTTCTGTCAAATATGTTTTGGTTATTTACCATTTTTAAGCATGTGCTCATCATATTTACTCTGCATGTGAATCCTTTTATATTGCATGTATTGCAGATTTCTCCATTCTGTTTTTGTCTTTTTTAAAAATATTTTTTGTTGTTGTTGCTAACGGACCTTTATTTTCATCTATTTATATGTGGTGCTGAGAATCAAACCCAGTGCCTCACACTTGCTAGGCAAGTGCTCTACCACTGAGCCACAACCCCCACCCTGTTTTTGTCTTCTAACTGTCTTGATTTTAGAATATTTTAATTTTTTATTTTCTTTTTTTCTTAGCACTGGAGATTGAACCCAAGGCCTCACACATGCTAGAGAAGTGATCTACCACTGAGCTACATCCCCAGCCTCAGTTCCTTTCTCTATGGCTTATTCTTCATGTTATTTGAAAATTATCCTACCTATTACATCCAAGAAACTAGTGACTGCTAAAGGTGTTCTATATTTATTTTTTATATTTGAATCTACAATGGATTGATTAGTATCCACAATATAGGAGGGAATGGAATGCATATTTCAAGTAGAGACCAGTTTGCCTTGCTCCATGTTTTAAAGTGCTTGTGCTCTCTCCCAGAGCTCCAGAGTGCCTGCTGTATTATTACTATTATTATCATTGGTGGGTACAAGGCATTGACCTGAGGGCCTTGTGCATGCTAGGCAAGTGCTCTACCACTAAACTATACCCCCAGACCCATCTACTCTATTATTAATCAACATTCTATACAAATGCCAGCTCTTGGTAGATGCCTTTCCTTTTGTCTATTTGTTTTCTGCTAATACTAGGCTGCTCTGAATATTAGGTTTGTGAGGCAAGCCATCACTCTCCTTCAGAAAACTTTGATCATTGTTAGACATTTGTTATTCCTTTTAGTTTATAAAAACAAACTACTGAAGAGTCTGCTTTGGAGAGTTATGGGATTTTTGTGAGATATGGTTTGGAAGAGGTGATATCAATGATGATATTGAGTTCTTTCCAAGAACATGTATCATCCACCCACCGATTTGATTCTGCTTTGACATGGCTCAATAGAAATTCAAAAGTTGTTCTGTTAGGTTCATTAAATATTGATCACTTATTATACTTAGTACTTTATTAAATTTGGCCTGGAGTAAAGTGTTTATACATCCCCAAAGGATATCTCTTGTTGTAATCACATAGGATGAACTCAGTTCCCCAATGGACAAGTTGTGACAACATGCATGAAATAGTGTCTACCAGGTAATTAGCTCGTTAGACACTCAGTGTGCCTAGTGTTTATGGGATCTAATTCTCTAGGCCCCACTGTGAGCATGGAACAAATTAATAGACATTCAGAAGAGAAACAAGAGTTCATAAACTGCTATGGTATTTACATAGATCATTTAGGCACAGTGAAACATTCTTATTATTTATGTTAGCAAATCACTCCCAAGTTTCAAGTTCACTGGTACTAGCAAAGTTTGAACTATGTGAGTAGACTTAAGACTACCTTTTTTTTTTTTTTTCATCAGGGATTGAATCCAGGGGTGCTTAACCAAGGAGCCACATCTCCACCCCTTTTTATTTTTCATTTTGAGACAAGGTCTTGATAGGTTACTTAGGGTCTTGCTAAGTTGCTGAGGCTGGTTTTGATCTTGTGATCCTCCTGCCTCAGTCTCTCAAGTCACTGGGATTACAGGTATGTGCCACCATGCCATGCTAATGTTAACTCTTCATATCAGGTGGTAGGGCTTTGTTATGACAGATACTAAAGTCCATCTCTACAAAGAGAAATGAAGGTGACCCAACAGCACATCGTACTTTCTGAGTCCACTAATGAGAAGGGCTCCTACTTGCTATTTCCTTTCTGAATAGCTCAATTCTAGTACTAGAACTGCTGTGTGGGAGGGAGTATCATCCAAGGCAAGAATTCTCATGACCAAGTCATGATGGAAATGTTTGGAAACCATAGAATCATGTGACCCTCTTATGAATTGAGTGTAGGTTCTGGTCAGTCGGACTCATTCTCCTGTACATGTATGTGGAATGTTTTAGGACTCAGTGGCTTTTCAGGATGTGGCTGTGGACTTCACCCAGGCAGAGTGGGCTTTGTTGGATCCTTCCCAGAAGAATCTCTACAGAGATGTGATGCGGGAAACTTTCAGAAACCTGGCTTCTATAGGTAAGACCAACATCATTCCTTTACCTAGTCAGTTATAGCACAAATGTTTCTTGGTCGTGCATGTGGTTCTGTGATTGGAATGTAAAAATGGAAGAATTTGGTGAATGAGTCAGAAAAGGGAAGAATTTGGTGAAGAATCAGGCATTGTTACAGTGTACATTGAAACTAGAAATGAATAATTTTTCTAAAATTTCTTCTTCTTCTTTTTTTTTTTTTTTTTTTTTTTGGTGGTGGTGGTGGTACTAGTAATTGAACCCAGGGATACTCTACTATTGAGCTACATCCCTAGTCCTTTTTATTTTTTTAAACTTTGAGCCAGCATTTCACTACATTGCCTAGAATGGCCTTGAACTTGCCATGCTCCTTCCTGAGCCTAAGTAGTAGCTGTAATTACAGATGTGTACCACTGCACCTGACAGTTAACAATTCTTCTACAACTTTTAATAATTCACGATAATTTTTCTTTGTCCACATTTTAGGAAACAAGTGGAAAAACCAGAACATTGAAGACCAGTTTAAAATTCCAGGGAGAAATTTAAGGTAATTTGCAGGTATAAGAGGGAAAAACAGTCCTTTTAAGAAATCCTAGCATGTCATAGAATTTTAAAAACAATTAAAACAAATACAATTTTTTTTTTTCTGGTACTGGGGATTGAACTCAGGGGCATTCAACCAGTAAGCCACATCCCCAACCCTATTTTGTATTTTATTTATAGACAGGGTCTCACTGAGTTGCTTAGTGCCTCGCAGTTGCTGAGGCTGGCTTTGAACTTGCAATTTTCCTGTTTCAGCCTCCCAAGCTGCTGGGATTACACCTGCCTGGCAAAAACAAATACATTTTTAAGTTTATTTATCATTAGAAAATTTTCAGTGAAGCTACTATGTACTTAAATGTAACAAAGATGTTCAGTGCTTACAAAATAGTTCATTTGTAAACTAAGTACTAAGAAACTGAATGTTGCTGTTTTGATAATAGCCAAGTGGGATTCATGTTGCAGAGTATTTGGTCCATGTACTTTTAAGTCTTTTTGCCACCGGAGGGAAAAAAATGTACCCTGTCCTTGATGTGAGGAGCAATGGAACTCCAACACTTACTAATAAATACATTTTAATAATTGAACCCTTGCTAATGCATTTGTCATTTTTTTATAGAAGTTATGTAGTAGAGAGACCCTGTGAAAGTGAAGAAGGTGGTCAGTGTGGTGAAACCTTCACCCAGGCTCTAAATCTTAATCAGAGCAAGAAAATTCCTGCTGGAGTAAAACCATGTAAATGCAGTGTGTGTGGAAAAGTTTTCCTATGTCTTTCATCTCTCAAGAGGCATCTGAAATCTCACTCCAGATACAAGGCACTTGAGTGTGAGGAATATGGAGAGAAGCCACATAAATGTGAACAGTGTGGGAAAACCTTCATTTCTCTCAGAAGTGTTGGAAGACATATGGTGACCCACAGGATAAAAGGCTCTTATACTTGTGAGTTATGTTTGAAAGTCTTTGATTCCCCCAGTTCATTTCAAATACATCAACAAACTCACACTGGAGCCAAACCCTCTGACAGCAAGCAGTGTGGGAAGACCTTTCTTTGTTCTAGTTCATTTCAACTACCTGGCAGAATTCACACTGTAAAAAAATCTTATGAATGCAAACAGTGTGGCAAAACCCTCAGTTCTTCCTGTTCCCTTCGAAGGCATGAAAGAAGTCATAATGGAGAAAAACCCTATGAGTGTAAACAGTGTGGTAAGGCCTTCACACGTCATGGTTACTTTCGAGAACATGAAAGAATTCATACTGAAGCAAAAACCTATGAATGCAAACAGTGTGGTAAAGCTCTCAGTTCTTCCAATTCCCTTCGAATCCATGAGAGAACTCACACTGGAGAAAAACCCTATGAGTGTAAACAATGCGGGGAAGCTTTCAGATGGCACAGTGACCTTCGAAAACACGTGCGATTTCATATTGAAGAAAATCCCTTTGAATGTAAAAAATGTGGCAAAGCACTAAGTTCTCCCAATTCCCTTCGAATACATGAAAGAACTCACACAGGAGAAAAGCCCTATGAGTGTAAACAGTGTGGAAAAGTCTTCCGATTTCAGACTTCCCTTATAAGGCACGAAAGAGCGCATGCTGGAGACAAATCCTATGAGTGTATACAGTGTGGCAAAACTCTCAGTTGTTCAAATTCCCTTCAAGTTCATGAAAGAATTCATAATAAAGCACGACCCTATCAGTGTAAGCAGTGCGGCGAAGCCTTCAGATTTCATGTGGCTCTTAAAATGCATGAAAGAACCCACGCTGGATATAAACCTTACGACTGTCAACAATGTGGTAAAGCCTTCAGATGCCGCGGCTATCTTCGAAAACACGAAAGGATTCACACTGAAGTCAATCCCTATGAATGTAAACAGTGCGGCAAGGTGCTCAGCTGTCCCAGTTCCCTGCGATATCATGAGAGGGCTCACACAGGAGAAAAACCCTCTGTGTGTAAACAATGTGGTAAGAGGCTCAGTTGTTCCAGTGCCCTCCAAAAACACAAAAGAATTCACACTGACAGAAAAACCCTGTGAATGTCAACAGCATAGAAAACCCTTCAGATTTTCCGTTCGTCTTCAGATGTGTGAAAGAATTCATGGAGGGGAATACTAGGATGATAAAAACTTGTGGTGAAGGCATCAGTTTTTTCAGATCTTTTTGAATACATGGCAAGACTCACACTGGAGAATAGCCTTATGAATGTATGAAATTTGTTAAAGCCATCATTTGTTCCAGTTCCATTTGAAGATAACAAAAAAAAAAAATGCATTCAGCAGAAAATCTCTAAAGGGCTGGTGGCTGTACCTTCAAAGGCCCATAATGCACACTGAAGATAGATGTTATACATATCAGACTCCAGTAGTTTGGAAAATAAAGGAAAGCTTTTGATTTTTATGATTGCTTTAAAAGTCAATGGGAAAACTCCCATTTGAAAGAAATCTCATAAATGTAGGTGATATTGAAATCTTAATGCAAATTAATTATTACATAATGTTCAGTTTCTCTACATGAACAAAATTTACATAAATTATGAATATAATATGTTTATCAGTGGCTCATAGTTAAAAGTTCTCTGGTTTGCATATTTCCATTTCTTTGTAAGGATACATAAAGGTGAGGATTCTATAGGTGTAGTTGTGTCAGTTAACAAAGGGATAAATTCAGAGAAATGCCTCGTTAGGCAATCTAATTGCTGTGTGAAGATAATAAAGTGTACTTAGACCAATCTTAGATGGTATAGTGAACTACCAACAGACTTAGGCTAAATGCTGTTGCCTGTTTCTTTTGGGCTCCAAACCTGTACATTATTGTATTTAGTACTGTAGGCAACAGTAACACAATGATAAGTATTTGTGTATCTAAACACACTGAAAAATAGAAAAGCTACAGTAAGGATATAGTATAAAAGATCAGGGTAGGGTGGCCCGTGATTGTAATCCCAGCTGCTTGTGAAGCTGAGGCAGGAGGATCACAGTTCAAGGTCAACCTGGGTAGTTTCTTGAGATCCTGTATCAAAGTGAAAAATGAAAAGGTCTAGGGGAGTAGCTCAATGGGTCGAGGGTCCCTGGCTTTGATCTCCAGTACTGCAAAAATAAAATAAAAGATATACCTGTGCAAGATACTTCCTGCGTACAGAACTTGCTGGAGTACTGGTGGGAGTCTGCTGGGCGAGTTTGAGTGAGCGATCAGTGACTGAATGTGAAGGCCTAGGATGTTGCTGGACACTGCTGTTGACTTTATAAACACCTGCACTTATGTTATACTAAATTTATAAAAATAATTTTATCAGCAAGAATAAATTAACCTTAGGTTAGTGTAACTTTGTCACTTAATAAACAATTTTTTCATCTTTTTCACTGTTCTGTAATAAACACATAGCTTAAAACACAAGATGTCTGTATAAAACTTTTGTTTATATCTATTATATAAGCATTTATCCATTTTAATGTTTATTGTTTACTTTTTAATGTATTTTGTTAAAGACTAAGAAACAAACACATTAGTCTAGGCTCACACAGCTCCAGAATCACCAGTGTCAGTGTCTCCACCTCCTCATCTGGCCCAGTGGACATTCTTCAAGAGCAGCAACATTTGGAACTGTCATTTCCTATCATGACAGTGCTTTCTCCTGGAACTCTTTTTGTTGTTGTTGGTACTGAGGATTGAACCCAGGGGTGCTCTATCACTGAGCTATATCCCCAGCTCCCCACTCCCCTCTTTTTTTTTTTTAAATTTTTTGTAGTGGTAGATGGACACAATGCCTTTATTTTATTTGTTTATTTTTATGTGGTGCTAAGGATCGAACCCAGTGCCTCACACATGCTAGGCAAGCACTCTGCCACTGAGCTACAGCCCCAGCCCACGCCCCCCAGCCCTTTTTATTTTTTACTTTGAGATAGAATTCTCTAAGTTGCCCAGGCTGACCTCTAACTTGTGATCCTCCTGCCTCAGCCTCTCAGGTTGCAGGGGTTACAGGCATGTGCCATCATCCCCACTGAAATCTTTTTTGAAGGACGTGCATGTCTGAGGCTCCTCTTGGGAAATGTGACTCTTTTCATAAATGTGTACATGATGCTTTTCTTGGTTTCCTTTATATCATAGACTTGCTTGTAAGCAGATAATATACCATGAATATTCCTCTCTGTTGATGAAAACTTTTTGTTATGGGGTCCATGTTTTTAGGCTTAAAGGATCTTAAAGTCTACAGAAGTTTCTACTAAACTGCTTACCATGAATTTTCTTGGGTGTTTTCTTATTTTCCTTCAGTTGTTTTGTTTCTTGTCTGTTCATCTATGCATTGATTATATGATAGGCATTTTGTGGGGGTGGGTACTGGGTATTGAAATTAAGCGTACTTTGCTAGTGAGCTACATCCCCAATCCTTTTTATTTTTTATTTTGAGGCAGGGTGTTGCTAAGTTGCTGAGGATCCTGCTAAATAGCCCAGGCTGGCCTTGTACATGCAATCCTCCTGCCTCAGCCTCCCGGGTTGCTGGGATTACAGGCATGTGCTACTGCGCCTAGCTGTGATAGGCATTTTTTAAAAAATATGTTTTTAGTTGTAGTTGGACACAATGCCTTTATTTTATTTATTTTTATGTGGTACTAAGGATCAAACCCAGGGCTTCTACATGTGCTAGGCGAGTGCTGTACTGCTGAGCCACAGCCCCAGCTCCTGTGATAGGCATTTTTAAGACCCATTATAATGTTATAGGCTCAACATTGTATATGAGATCCATTGTTGACTGAAATGTGTGATATAAGACTGTACTCTTCTAAGTAATTATGCTTGAGTTTAATGCGTAGTATCTTAAGTCAGTTAACAAAACTTTTCTCTATCAACTTTAAAGTGTGTTGGATCCATGTTTTAGTTGAAATGTATTTCTAATATATAAGTAGGTTCAATATTTATATAATTGTCTTAAGTGTTCTGTGATTGATGGATGGGCCACTGAAAAATAAGTCTTTGTTATTTGGGGGGATTTTCCTACTGTTGTGTGGCAGCTTCTGTATTGTCACACATTATATGTCTTTTACTTTTTCTATGGGAAAAACTACCTTTTTGAAGGGGCATGGAATTTATTTCATTTGTTTTTTGCTAATAAAGATTAGGTATTGGGCTGGGTTTGTGGCTCCACAATAGAGCGCTCACCTTGCACGTGAGCAACACTGGGTTTATCCTCACCACCACCTAAAAATAAATAAATAAAATAAAGAAATTGTGTCCAACTACAATTTAAAAAAATAAAAAAGATTAGGTATCATAGTCTGAGGATATACCTCAGTGGTAGAGTGCTTACCCAGCATGCCCAAGGACCTGAGTTCAATCCCTAGTACTGCAATAAAAAGAAAACCATAGATGCCGTAGCCAGGTGTGGTGGCACATGCCTATAATCCAAGCTGCTTGAAGGCTGAAGCAGGAGGATTGCAAGTTTGAGGCCAGCTTTGGCAATTTGGTGAGATCCAGTTTTAAAAAATAAGGGTTTGGTGTGTAGCTTAGTGGAAAAGCACCCCCAGGTTCAATCCCCAGTATCTTGGGGGAAAACAGATAAAAGAGAGTTGATAACTATTTTTAAGTATGTCAAGTTTATCACATACTCTTAGGTGAATTATTTTAACTGTTGCCTTTTACTTTTTAAAATACTTTTAGTTGTAGATGGACACAATACCTTTATTTAATTTACTTTTTAAAATGTGGTGCTGAGGATTTAACCCAGTCCCTCACATGTGCTAGGCAAGTGCTCTACCACTGAACTACACCCCAGCCTTGTTGCCTTTTATTTTTTATCATTATTTCTGGCTGTTACTTGTATAATTCACCTTGGATTAAGGAGAAAGACCTGTGGAAGAATTACATGTTTGTCTAATCTGAGGGAGAAAGCTTTCAATCTCACCATCAAGAATAACGTTAGCTGTAGGGTTTTTGTTTGTTGTTTTTATAACAGTACTAGGATATTCTACCACTGAGCTACACTAATTTTGGGGACAAGGTCTTGCTAATTTGCTGAGTCTGACCTTGAACTTGTGATCTTCCTGCCTCAGCCTCCTGAGAAGCGGGGATTATAGGTGTGTGCCATCATGCTCTAAGAGTGGGTTTTTTAATCAATGCTGTAAAGCACATTTAGAAAGTTCCCTTCAGTTCATTTTTTTAAAAATTGGGATTGAACCCAGGGTCGCTTTATCATTGAGCTACATCCCCAGGCCTATTCAGATAGAGGCTCACCAAGTTGCAGAGACTGGCCATGAACTGGCAATCTTCCTGCTTTAGCCTCCTGGTGGGGGGGTGGGGGGGGCTGGAATTGCAGATGTGACAATGGTGTGTTTTATTATGAAAGGGTGTTGATATTTTTTTGTATGTTTTTTCTGTATCTCTTGAGATGAACTTGTGGTTTTTGACATTTATTCTAATAAGTTGAATTATAGTCATTGACGTTCATATATGAAAACAGCACTGCTTTTGTAAGTTAAATTTCTCTTAGGGAGTATAAGTCTTTATATATTGGTAGATTTGCTTTTCTAGTATCTTCTTGAGGCTTTTTTGCATCTATATTGAAAGAGTTTTGTGTACATTAACAGCATATAGCATTATCTAGTACCTGAAGTATGTACATGTGTGTATAAGCATGTATATAATATGTAGTATGTAGTATAGTTTTGTATATAAATAGCATATATATGACTAGATTGTATAGCATGTAATTAAAATGCAATTAGTATAGAATATAGTATACTGTAGCATTATAGGATTAGTCATCAGTCTATAATCATGCATTTCTGTTCGCTGTTGGATGACAAAATTTTTCCAACAAACCTTTCACATTCTCTCCTGAGAACCAAGAAGTATCTCAACTTGATACCCAAAGCCTTCTCCCATCCCACCTGCTCTGTGCTCTGAAGTGTAGTCCCTGGGCAGGACTACATGCCTTCCAGTACCTTCCACATCCTTACTGTGAGGGTCACTAACTGATAAGCTCCTGACAACCTTATCTGTGCAGCAGTGGTGAAACAGAGCTCCGGCACTTGCTCATCTGAAGGATGTGCCACGGGAATTAAGACAGACATGTTATCTGATGAAGCACAGCCTAGTCTACATGTTTATCACCTGAGTTTTGTTTCTATAAATTGTAATCATTTCTATTAATCTAGCTCTTCTCCCCAGTTTGATCAAAATGTACAAAATTTCTTTTTTTCTTTTTTTTTTTTCCATTGTTCATTTCTCATGTGGGTAGACAGCCAAATCTGGCCACCCAGGTTCAGGCTGGCTCCCTGACTGGGTTGCAGGTAATGATGGATGTCATGAGTTCAAATCTCAGCAGCCCTAAGCTGCTAATTTCTCCCTCACCAATGGAGTGAGTGTGAGGCTACGTAAACAAATGGCAAGAAATACAGGATGGACCAACTGTGACCAAGGACATTACTCAATTTTAGCTAACAACTCTGGGCTACCTGACTCCATAATATAGTCAATGTCACCTGAGTGACAACCACCAACGGCTTGTTGGCTTTCACTTTGGTCTACACAGGGCTTTGTGTTCTGTGTCAAGTGTGGCCACTTTGTCCCATGTTGAAACACTCATCTGGACACAAATGGCTAATTGACTGACTGCTGCAATGTGACTTGATAGGTTCGTCCTAGTTGGTAAGGAGTTTTTGAGGCATTCACCTATCAAGGCAGCAAAAGCATCACCTTAACTTGATTGGTACTTCAGTCCTGATTGCCAAGAATCTGGTGACTGCTCAGTGGTCATTGCATCTACTCTGGTTGTCACTTCTGGATGCTTGGCATGGCCATGTAAAATTGTTTATTATTGTATATCCTTGCAGTATGCTCATGGATGATTGTGAAGTCGCAAAAAAGAGACCTTTTTTTTGTACTGGGGATTGAACCCAGGGGTACTTAACCACTGAGTCACATCCCCAGCCCTTTAATTTTTTTTTTTTTTAAATTTAGAGATAGGATCTCACTAAATTGCTGAGGGCCTTGCTAAGTTGTTGAGAGTGGCTTTGAACCTGCAATCTTCCTGCTGATGGGATTACAAGCATGCACCACAGTGCCCAGACCACAGAATTAAATATTTTACCCAGTTGCCTAGGAAGAGTCATTGTACAGGCAAGAGTAGCAGGAATGACTTTCTGGTGCTGCTGATTCCCTTGCTGTAATGTGCACTCCCGGATCCCCAAGGGTATTGGAAATAAAGGAAAGGGGGTTAACCCCTCCTAATTTTAAGTGGGCACAATATCTTTATTTATCTTTATGTGGTGCTGAGGATTGAACCCAGTGCCTTGCGCATGCCAGGCCAGCACGCTACCACTTGAGCCACATCCCCAGCCCAGGAACTAGTTTTTAAATAGAAGATATGTGACTCTTTTCCCAGTGCAAAACCCCTAGCC